ACGCCGTTTGGCAAAAATGCTAAAGAGTAAGTGGGAACTAGAACCACCATATTTCGGTCAAGGTATGAGTCACCCCGTCGGCGCGACACACCCCAACTTTGAAATGTCAAATGGCACTACCTCTTTTGTGATGCCACAAATGAACAGTCTCAGTCAGTGGTATTCACCTGTACAAGACTTTTTTTCGACCCACTACAGGGTGTACGAAAAATATAAATTTGAATAAAATAAAATGAATTGTGTTAAAAAAATATTTGATTTGATCAGATGTTCAAAATGCATTCCATTCTGTTGTAAGCAATAGTATAATCGATGTTCAAATGCCATTCTAACATTTTGGAACACATCTCTTGGAATATATCGGCATTCTGCATTTTATTTTATTCGACTTTATGTTTTCCGTTCACCCTGTAGTGGGTGGAAAATAAGTATTGTACAGGTGAATGCTACTGACTGAGACCGTTCATTTGAGGTATCAGAAAAGAGGTAGTGCCATTTGACATTTCAAAGATGGAGTGTGTCGCGCCGACGGGGTGACTCATCCCTTTACTGAAGTATGGTGGTTCTAGTTCCCCCTAACTCTGTAGCATTTGTGCCAAACGGCATTCTCCCAACTTTTTTATCTAGCGAGATATTCGCATTGAAAGTTTTCAAATTTAGACCCTCGACTTAATGTTTTTCGTACACCCTGTAGTAGGTGGAAAAAAAGTCTTGTACAGGTGAATACTACTGAATGAGAGGTATCCCAAAAGAGGTAGTGCCATTTGACATTTCAATGTTGGGGTGTGTTGCGCTGACAGGGTGACTCATCCCTTCACTGAAATATGGTGGTTCTAGTTCTTCCTAACACTTTAGCATTTGTGCCAAGCGGCGTTTTTCTACCTTTTTTATTTCGCGAGATATACGCATTGAAAGTTTTCAAATTTACACCCTGTATGCACCTATATGAAAACAAACCGATTTGTAAAATCACGAGTCCGTAATTTTGTTACAAATAAAATAGTGAGTGATGAAAATAAAAAATTATAGGATAAAATTTGACTCAACTTGAGTCAAATTAATTCTATTATAATTGACTAATGGTTCTAAAGGTTGAATTACGATTAGAAATGGTTACGTTTTATTTTCTCGGAGAATTGATAATTGATGTTATTGTTTCTTGTAAGTCACATTAATTTAGACAGTTTAATGTAAACAAGGTTTTATCGAGGACCATGCAGTTTTATCAGTACCTATAACACCGAATTGATTTTGGTTGACACAACGAAAAAGTCACATTTAAATTATCAATAAAATTTGAAGGACTTGTCTTGTGGTAGCTATTACCTTCGTTAAAATCTTGACCTATTTCTGCACAGGGCATTTGAAAGTCTCCTTGGCAATCACCTGAAAGTTGAGGTTATCATCGAAATATGTCTTATTAGTAATGTTGTTTGTCAAGTAGACTCAAATCGTGATATTTATAACACAAAAACACACATTTTTTTTGTGTACTGGGTGATTCAAACAAGCATAGGAAAACTGCATATGCAAATTTGGCAGAGGGATATTGAAAAGCTGTGTGTAAGGTGTATTTTTTCGCGTTTAAACATTTTTCAACCTCTTTCAAAATGGCAGAATTGGGTTCAGAAAAATTACTTTTCCCACAGTCATCATTCTTTTCTCATATTCTGAAAGAACATATTTTTTTAAACAACTTTCATCCCAAAACTTGTTTGAGTTTCTTAACCCTTTCATTGCGGGTAAAATTTTGATAGTCGTGCTCAAAACGGGGAAAATGTAGCGTTGCGGGAACGCCCGTCTCCCGGTATACGCAAGTCAGGTACGGACGTGTACACCCGACTCCCGCAACTTGTGAATGCGATTTTTTACATATTTCAACCCAAAATAAGTGCTATTTCAATTGTCTGTTTTTAAAATGAAATGTTATAACTCGATAGCTTATATCTATTATGAATTGAAAATATTCCCATAAATGAAATGGAATTTAATAATTTTTGACAGTGTGATACCTTCCAAAACATTTTATAATACACAGTGAAACATCACAAGGCGCAAAGCAGAATTAAGTTTCTTTTAGCATACAACAACTCTTCAATTTGATCGTTATTGAGATATTTTCGAGCCATCGTGGTTTACATTCACTTGAAACAAATAAAAACCAACTGATGCAGCTACTACTTCGATACTGAAATATTGAATAAAATGGAAACCGCATCCACAATCGTTAAATTCTGTTGAGACAGGTTTAGTTGCATCTTGACATATCAATATACGTAGACGGGAACGCCGAACTCCCGCAATGAATGCGTTAAAAATACGTGCGTCAGAAGCCGTCTCCCGCGTATTTGGTGTAAAAACGTTTGGCGGGTTTTTCCGGTGCCCGCAATGTGAGGGTTAAGTTGGCATTTTCAAATAAACCTCAACTCACCCTACGCGAAATTGAAAAGCGTTATGATTTTTTGATATATTGTTAGGACCAGTTAGGGCAGTATGAACCCCTACTTGCAGCTTCGAAAAACCCTTGCTTGCTTCGTAATAGGTAAGAAACATAAAAATATTAGGACCTTCTTTCAGATGTTGCGCTATAAATCACGAACTATGCGTTTTTTGCTATTAAATGTGATTTAAGTTTTTGAAGTAAAATTAATTTGCAAGAATTTTCAAGATATAGTACTCCAAAGATTTGCAATTTTTTGTAGAAAATATAAATTCCAAGTTTTACTCTTGTTTCGGGCCCAATATCGACATAACCACTCAACCTACGGAAAGAGCCCTAAAAATGAGGTTGTAGTGAATTTGTATGGCTTTATTTGTGCACAAAAGGAAGTCTCTAGATCTGACAGTTGTTTACAAATAATGAAAAGACGAATTGTAAACCTGGAATATTGAGGAAATCAGCCTGAATACTTCTAATTATAACAAATGTCGGCATTATACGAAAAATTCCTTAAAGTGGATAAGTAAATTTTTGTGTTCATAAACTTAAAATTGAAATCGCTCAATCCAGGTTTCTTCGAGACTGAAGAGAGTTGCTGGTGTCCAACTCAGCCTGCTCTTTTGAAGGTGGATGATCGTCAAGGTTTTCCTCATTCTCGTAAATCATAAATATAGCGACGTTTTGGCAAGTCTCGCAAGCACAGAGTGCACAAAGCTAGAGCACCTAAGTCCAGCTCTACGCTTGCACTCAAATGAGAGCGATTTGAGGAGGATGTTGGGAGCTGGTTCGCATAATGTTGTTATCGGTTGAACCATGGGAGTTCTTTGACCAACCCCACCCACCCCCTTTTGCACTTGGTATGTGCGATACAAATGGAAGGACGCAGCCTCTTTGGTCGGGAGCAAACGAGCCAGGTTTATCTTCGCGATGGCTGCTGATTTTACGAGTAAGCAGAACCGAATACCGTGTTGGGTTTTGATATACCCCTGTGACTGGCCATTACCATGCAAAGAGTTAAAACATGTATTTCCCCATTAACGTGCCTAGTATGTTCATTCTCCTTTCTCAAGTCCGAAAACGTAAGTACTTTTTTATCAATTGACCCGTGTAACCTCTTTGCGGATGAAACTCTTTACCTATTTCTATATTCCTCCTACGAACATCTACAGTCATGGCATGTCTATATATCAATAACATAAGCTTATAGTATATAGCATTGTTGTATCCTCTAGAACATATAGTAAGCATAACACGTTTCATCGACATTAGGTAGTTCGCTGGGTCCAAAATTCACTTGCGATAATCATAATCTGATCTTGAGGTTAAAACAATCCGACTCTAGTGAATGTTTGAACGTTATCAGCACTCCAAGGACATAAAAAGAAATTATATATCGAGAACTCATGTCCCATCTTCTTATACATACTATCCAGCCACTCTGAAAAGTCATTGTCATCCACTTCCGATACGCACTCTGGTGAGTCATTACTTATCCACTACGAAATAGCCACAATGCTCACAGTGGAATGAAATGTTAAATAAATGCGAAAAGCTCAAAGTCATTTCCACACAGTGTTCATAAAATGAACAACAATGGTAGATTTCGGGAGAAAAACAACTACTTCCTTGGCTAATGCCACGCAGGATATTGAATTACATCTTCCCGAAATCCATGCATCGACTCGTATAAACGAATACTGATACAAGTGATTCTTTCCTGAATGCCTATTGATTTCAATTAAGCCAGGCCGCTAGACAACCACAGACCGGTTTCGAGCTCTTTGACTCTCATCAGTGCAGTGTAGTCTCCAGCCAGCAGTCCTAAGACCGCCGACTCAGCGAAGCCTAGTCAAACAAATCAGTAGGCATTCAGGAAAGAATCACTTGTATCAGTATTCGTTTATACGAGTCGATGCATAGATTTCGGGAGGATGTAATTCAATATCCTGCGTGGCATTAGCCAGGGAAGTAGTTGTTTTTCTCCCGAAATCTACCATTGTTGTTCATTTTATAAACACTGTGTGGAAATGACTTTGAGCTTTTTGCATTTATTTAACATTTCATTCCACTGTGAGCATTGTGGCTATTTCGTAGTTGATATTACGCCAGTCGGGCTGCCAGCCACTCCCGTATGGGAATTTCAGTTTTGGAGTGATTCTTTCCTCGGTTCTACTCAGATGGCGTTACTTTCATTTTGTCGATGAAAGACGCCTCGGGGTGGATATAATGCCAACTTGATTTTTGTTTGGCTAGGCTTCGCTGAGTCGGCGGTCTTAGGACTGCTGGCTGTAGACTACACTGCACTGATGAGAGTCAAAGAACTCGAAACCGGTCTGTGGTTGTCTAGCGGCCTGGCTTAATCGAAATCAATAGGCATTCAGGAAAGAATCACTTGTATCAGTATTCGTTTATACAAGTCGATGCGTAGATTTCGGGAGGATGTAATTCAATATCCTGCGTGGCATTAGCCAGGGAAGTAGTTGTTTTTCTCCCGAAATCTACCATTGTTGTTCATTTTATGAATACTGTGTGGAAATGACTTTGTGCTTTTTGCATTTATTTAATTACTTATCCACTCAGAATCATCCTCCACAGCACATTTCTTCAATACTTTTCTACGCATTCTTGTCTCTTTTGAAGTCGATTGTAAAATATTTTGCATCGACAAATTACTAGCCGTATTCATAAATAATGTCGTTAACTCACCAGAAGCCTCACTAGTTGAATGGACCAAATCCCTTCCATCGCCCATCCATATCGCTTGCAGTTCATTCTCAACAGTTTTCAATCCATTGAAAACCTCTTCATTTAATGCATCACCATTAACATCTAGATATTCCTCTTCTAACAAGTAATGTATACCTAGAGAACACTTGCTTACTTCTATCATAGTACTAAGACCCTTGACATCTTTAACTTCTGTAACATAAAATAAATCTTGAATTTCCTCTTCAGAAATATGTCCTTTTTTCGAAGTTGTATCTCCGATAAATCTGTCTTCCATTGTCCCAAATCGAATCGTGTACGTAACTCATGTCGAAGGCATAATCAACTAACCCTTCGAATCATTAATTTTTTCTGCCAATTCATTAACTCATGTACATTAAAACTCATTAAACCATCGACTATCGAACAGCTATCATGCTTCATTGTTATTATCTTCTTGGCTCTAACTCCACTACACCTAATGACTAAAGTTAAATGAACTTTAATATCTTTGATACACATCTTTGGCGACACACCACCCTTCAAGGCTAGTACATCTAATATACTACCTAGATCTATCGATACTTTCGATAAATGAATCACATTTTGCCATAGTCTGCTACCCTATTTTGCCCAGAGAGGACTTGGGGTTGAAATAGCAAAATATCCCTAGGTAGAATTATTGTAGTATTGTAGTAATTATTAAATTTATTTGAAGTAATCTTTGGATTCCCGAACTGGTACAACCTATGTTGAATATGAGAATCCTTTTTGGTATCTAGATATTGCTAGAGATGCCCTTTTAACTCAGTGAAGATGGGTCGGGGTTAAATCAGATCTTAAATCAAGCGCCACCCACTGTATGACCCCAGCATAACTTATTCAATACAACTGACAAACTAAAGTGGGACATGAGATCTAAAATCAGTTAGGAATTCTCAAGTGATACTCAAATTTAACAGAGGTGAATACAATATTCAATGAGAATAACTTGAGGCCCAGTACAATGGTCTGCGTACTCACCAACAATTCCAATATGAGGAGTTCTTATATAGAGAATAAGATATGTATAGACTAGTATTCTGTAGTAAATATGTACTAATGATTGTATTCGAAGTGACAAGAAGTGTCCTAAAATAAAATTCACCAATATATCCACTGATTCTGGCGCTAATTCTGGTTTTAATTCTATTTCGACTTCAGCAATTCAAGAGACATTGATAGCCTGATCAATACGGTCTGTAATTAACGAATGATATCATATTTTTGACTCAGTCAAGGTACCAGTTACGATTATCATCTGCACAAGATCTATGTGTAAGTCAAATAAAACTCCATTGACTCAAATCTGCATCAGAATTTAGATCACTTGGAAGTCATAGTCAAAAGTGATGATGGAAAGGTATCATTAAAAGCCTGAAATAAAATTGGAACGTGTACTTTTGTCACTACAAAATGGCGCGTCGAACATCTTACCTCATTGATGTTGGAGGCTTCCAAAAACACAAGTAAGTTGTATTTCACCAGCCGAAACTGGGAATTTTATTGTCAGAAAACAATTTGCATGTCGAGCCAAATTTCAGTATTTGTATCTTCGATTATGCCATGGATAATTCTTTGCAAAATTTTGAGAAAAATCCTGCTGTGTAGTAAATTGCTCGGCGTGCCCAAAAAGAGAGAGAGCTCTACTTCGACAGATACAAAATGAATCAAAAATGTCTTAGTGACAAATTTCTGGTGACAGTGACAGACAAGTCAATTCCATAAGTTTCGTGTCTGGAATGACCTCAAAACACATAATTACCAAATGCAAATGATTATGCTACCACATATGATATCCTGAATTCCCTATTCCCGATTGAATATTCCAGTCAGTGAAAGCTGGTAAATAACTGTTGATTAGGAAATAATTATCACCTGTCAAATCTGGGAAGTCATATTTTTCACAGCCACGGCCGAGACCTACCTTCAGGTTCCTAACCATAGCTCAGCTAAGTGCCGTGACAACAGCGAATAACCGATCATAAAAGTGAAGCGTAGAAAACGTTGGGTTAGAACCTATGAATCTGACAGTTCGATCAGAATAATAATACCGATTGCTATTATCTCTAGCTTTCACGGAATTTACATCTATATTCAATCAGAAAGGTAAATAATATGATCATATATATTTCCAATATCCCAGTCTCAACTCATCAATTTGTAGATGATGACAAATTCCCAAATCAAACACTGGAGAAAAATATACCCTACAGATGATGAATATTTGTAATACAATTGTTCGAAATCAGTTCATCCAACCAGATCATCTTCTACAGAACGAATGAACTCAAGTTAGACAAAACTTGCCAGTTCAAGGCACTACCTGGTGAAACAAAAAAAGAGGTTAACCATATATCTCCTTATTCCAAATTTTTTGGGATTTTCTCTCCTCGTTTCTATAAAATAAAAATATGAATATTATTTCAATATACGTGTAGTAAGGACAAATCAGATGATTTGCCCCAAAATGTCACTGCGTTTAAAGAATTTTCCTATCAGAGAGCCTAAAAGAAAAATTCACTAGCTTGTCAGTGATAGGAAAATTCTTTAAACGCAGTGACATTTTGGGGCAAATCATCTGATTTGTCCTTACTACACGTATATTGAAATAATATTCATATTTTTATTTTATAGAAACGAGGAGAGAAAATCCCAAAAAATTTGGAATAATGAATATACCACCTCCTCGATTAACCTACAGACAGTATTTAACATATATCTCCTCTTCAATAAGATACCCCATCCATTGAAACCCGCCATCATCAGGCACGTATCCCAGCCTCGACAAATGTCCGTAACAAGTCCATATCTTATCTCGCTAGTATTCAATAACGATTCAACTATATTACTCATATTGTAGAAGCCATTTACCCCAACCAACTGAGACATCCCTGATCGCCGTTTAAAAAATGGTTTATGTCCCGTCTGCTGACACAGCCCATCAGCTATTAGTTTCAATTCTAACAATTTGTCTCCTCCCAATAAGTAGAAGAAACTGAACCAATGATACATCTACGTTAACGTCTCATTTTGCGCACGAGGCACCAAAAGGTTGTGATACGAGCTATCAGAATCAACATCAATAGTATCTAGATATTCCATCCGTAAACATTTGGTAATTCGAGTAGAACATACCTTCTCGCTCCTCTGCTTACATGCATAGAACAGTCTTCTGTCTGGCTTCATTTGAATTCTTTCTATTATAGATCTCCAATAACTTTCCCCGGATATGATTCGACCATATGACATCACTGAAACACCAACTTTCAGGACTTCCCTTCGACCTGCTGGGTCCAAAATTCTACGCGATTTTTCACTTGCGATAATCATAATCTGATCTTGAGGTTAAAACAATCCGACTCTAGTGAATGTTTGAACGTATTCAGCACTAAAAGGACATAAGAAGAAATTATATATCGAGAACTCATGTCCCATCTTCTTATTCATACTATCCAGCCACTCTGAAAACTCATTGACATCCACTTCCGATACGCTCTCTGGTGAGTAATTACGTATCCATTCAGAATCATCCTACACAGCACATTTCTTAAATACTTTCCTACCCATTCTTGTCTCTTTTGAAGTCAATTGTAAAATATTTTGCATCGACAAATTACTAGCCGTATTCATAAATAATGTCGTTAACTCACCAGACGCCTCACTAGTTAAATGAACCAAATCCCTTCCATCGCCCATCCATATTGCTTGCAGTTCATTCTCAACAGTTTTCAATCCATTGAAAACCTCTTCATTTAATGCATCACCATTAATATCTAGATATTCCCCCTCTAACAAGTAATGAATACCTAGAGAAAACTTGCTTACTTTTATCATAGGACTTAGACCCTTGACATCTGTAACTTCTGTAACATAAAATAAATAACCTCTTCAGGAATATGTCTTTCTTCGAAGTTGTATCACAGATAAATCTGTGTTCCATTGTCCCAATTCAAATCGTGTACGTAACTCATGTCGAAGGCATAATTTAATAAAACTTCGAAAGACACCTTATCATTACCATATAAATGATTCATCTCTTCTGCCAATTCATTAACTCATGTACATTAAAACTCTTTAAACCCTCGACTATTGAACAGCTATCATGCTCCATTGTCATTATCTTCTTGGCTCTAACTCCACTACACCTAATGACTAAAGTTAAATGAACTTTAATATCTTTGATACACATCTTTGGCGACACACCGCCCTTCAAGGCTAGTACATCTAATATACTACCTAGATCTATCGATACTTTCGATAAATGAATTACATTTCAATATTCAATAATGATCCAACTATATTAATCATATTGTAGAAGCCATTTACCCCAACCAACTGAGACATCCCTGATCGCCGTATAAAGAATGGTTTATATCCCGTCTGCTGAAACAGCCCATCAGCTATTAGTTTCAATTCTAACAATTTGTTTCCTCCCAATAAGTAGAAGAAACTGAACCAATGATATAGCGAAAAACATCCGTACGTTAACGTCTCATTTTGCGCACGAGACACCAAAAGGTTGTGATAAGAGCTATCAGATTCAACAGCAATAGTATCTAGATATTCCATTCGTAAACATTTGGTAATCCGAGTAGAACATACCTCCTCGCTCCTCTGCTTACATGCATAGAACAGTCTTCTGTCTGGCTTTATTTGACTTCCTTCTATTATACAGTGTGTACATAAAGTAAGGAATAAATTCATTATCTCGAAAAGGAAAAGCTTTTCGGAAAAATCCTTGGACACGTCAACTTTTGTTTCAAGATGCGCATCTTTTGGAGTCCTAGTCGGAATGGTGACGTCATTACTCTTCCGGAAATGTCATCATCGATTTTTTTTTCAAATGGCAACCTATAGTTTTGACAGTGCTATTTGAAAGAGCATATTTTTCTCCACACAGCACATCAAAAGTTTTGTCATGTTACATAAGGAAATTTTCGAGAAAATGAATGTTATCATGATTTTATAGTAATTTATTTTACACAGTTGATTGCACAAACTAATTGATCAAATGTTCAAACTGAAGTCCTTCCTGAGCCTGGCAGTATCCAAGACGGTCAATAAATTCTCGTTGGACTTTCGTGATAGTTCGTGGAGTAATATTGTTACATTCATTTGTAATCCTAGTTTTCAATTCCTCGATATTATCTGGTCTAGTTTTGTACACGACATTCTTTAGATGGCCCCAAAGAAAAAAATCTAATGGAGTAAGGTCCGGAGATCTTGGGGGCCATTCAATAGCATTACGCCTACCTATCCATCTATTGGCAAAGACTTGGTCAAGATACCTTCTAACATCAGCTGCGTAATGCGGCGGTGCACCATCTTGCTGGTACCATAAGTTTTCATTTGGTATAGCAGGGTTATTTGCGTTAGGAAATAAGATCACCAGACTGGGTATAACATGATCCTGTAGGAATTGAAGGTATCTTGCACCATTTAAGGTTTCTTCGAAATAGTGGGGTCCAATAATTCTGTTTTCTACAATCGCCGCCCAAACATTTATTTTCTGAGAATACTGTGTGTGATGTTCTCTCATCCATTTTGGATTCTCCTTAGCCCAGTACCTGCAATTCTGCCGATTCACTGTTCCTGTTAGTGTAAAGGTAGCTTCATCAGAGAAAGCAATATTTTTTACTAGCAAAGGGTTGGCATTGCACAAATCCATTAACGTTTGGCAGAACTGCATCCGTCGGTCTGGATCGTCCTCGGAAAGTTCTTGGGTCAGAGTCATCTTATAAGGATGCCACTTTTCCAATTTCATAATTTTATGTGTAGTTGTAACTGGGATATCTAGATTTTGGCTCAGGCTTCTTAGGCTGTTGTGTGGATTTTCCTCCATTGCTAATAAAACATTCAATTTGACCTCCTCATTGATTTTAGGACGCCCAGCTTTAGGGAGATCATCAACACTACCAGTGTCTCGAAACTTTTTCTCAACTTTGCTTACTGCCGATTGAGTTATGGGCCTATCCGGGTATTTAGTATTAAACAGTCCAACTACT